TGGAGACTCAGTCTGGATCCTCTATTCAGCAACACATACAAGGCCAAAGAATATCTCTTCTGGTTCTGCACACCTAGTCCTTTCTCTTTCTCCATAATCAGTCAGTCCTGTTAACAATCTCCCCTTCAGCTTTCTGATGCTCTCTCTTGGGTTCTCAAGATTTGAGTAATTTTCATCATAATGGAGATTTCTGCAGAGTAACTGGTTTTGCCCATTAGAAGCAGATAGAGTCACACCAGCTTTTTTTTCTGGGTTATCTTACAGCAGTGCGGTCAGACAAGGGTGATCAACAGAACCAAGTAAGCCTCTAAGGAAGCTTCCTGCTTGCCCAGGAAAGCTGCAGAGCATCTGGCATTCAACGGCCATGTCTACATCCATGCTCATAATGAGGCTTTTGGCTTCCAGGGTAATCAGTCCCATGATACTACTTCTTTAAATAATGGTGAGCCAATGACTCTGCATTTGGTGTTTTCAGTAACTGCAAGCTGCAGGACAAAATAGCAACTGTAGTACTTCTACCTTTGCCTTTATTCAGTAGTTGTTCCTGAAATAAGTTGAAAAAACAATGGACCTTGCAAAACCTGATTTACCCAACCACACCTGGTACCAGCACGGGAACTACAGCCAAAATTGAGTAAATTTATGAAGTAGTACAAAGCCAATTTCCCCCAGAAGTCATAGTAAAATAATACTATGTATTTTCTTTTAAAGCTTTAGAACATTTTCACATGCATGATCTCATTTTATTCTTAAAATGAAGATAGTTTAGGCCCCTAAGTAATGTAAGCAAGCTTAATTAATTTAAAATGTTGCATGGCAGTCGTCACGAAAAGTCTGTCAAATGCATTAACTCACTCTCAGTGACAAATCATAAATGAAGTTATCTTGACATCCTGCGTACAGCATATGCTTTTAGGACTCCGGAGGTGCAAAGTCACTGTCCACAAAGATGGATTATAGTCATTCTGCTGGTGTTGCCCAGGATAATTTTTCATAATCAAAGATTTGGTTTAAATAAGGCTGTTCTCCATATCTCTCCCTGAGTGAGAGGTACTAAGTTCTAGTAACCCCACTTGCTCTCAGCTGTGACAGGGTTAGGCTGATAAATAGAGGCAGCCTAGTGAAACAGCTGCTGCAAGCCAAGGCCTGAGGTTGCCGCGTCTTGTTACCTCCATGTGTTTGCATATGTCTAGGGGGTATCTGCCTGTTTCCTTGTGTGAGAAGTTAGTGTTTTTATGAATAAATAAATATATAAATAACCAACCAGAAGAATTAACCACTCTGTCACAGATGTCAGAATAAAAGCTTTCTGTATATCTGACTATTCCCTTACGAATACATTTTCTTTTCACCCTAGTAATGCTATCAAACAAAAAGTGGTTCAATACTGGCATCCTGTGGCCAAAGAAATTCAACAATTCTCTGAAAATCTCAGATCCTTGGGTTCTGAACATTCCCTGGCTGGCTGTACTAAGCAGCCTTTCACGATTTTCTGAATGCTGTTTGGTTACCTCTCATTTTTCATGGAAGCAGCCTTGCTAAGATATATCTTGATAGACTACCATTTTCACAGTGCTAGTCTACTCACGTATATTAGGGTAAAATAAATGATAATATTAATGCTAAAGAATTTTACCAAACAAAAGAATATGATATTAAATCACTGAACAAACTGCTCCAAGCAAAGTCTCTCTTGGCCTCCAAGTTCACACTCAGTTTCTTTTTAACAAAAAGGACATAGTCTGGTGAAGGGTTAGGTGGTGGTTCAGGACTCTTGTTTTGTGTGTCTGTGTGTGTTTTGTTTTTGCCAAAGGCTAAGAAAATACTTGCTATTGCAGCAATAAATATTATGAATTTTCTTTATTTTACTACAAGAATGCTGCCTAAGAGGAAAATCAAACAAAATTACAGAGGATTGTTGCTTTCTGCTCCTCACTTTCAAGGCTGCTATAAAGATAAAGAGTTACAATGATCNTATATCTTGATAGACTACCATTTTCACAGTGCTAGTCTACTCACGTATATTAGGGTAAAATAAATGATAATATTAATGCTAAAGAATTTTACCAAACAAAAGAATATGATATTAAATCACTGAACAAACTGCTCCAAGCAAAGTCTCTCTTGGCCTCCAAGTTCACACTCAGTTTCTTTTTAACAAAAAGGACATAGTCTGGTGAAGGGTTAGGTGGTGGTTCAGGACTCTTGTTTTGTGTGTCTGTGTGTGTTTTGTTTTTGCCAAAGGCTAAGAAAATACTTGCTATTGCAGCAATAAATATTATGAATTTTCTTTATTTTACTACAAGAATGCTGCCTAAGAGGAAAATCAAACAAAATTACAGAGGATTGTTGCTTTCTGCTCCTCACTTTCAAAGCTGCTATAAAGATAAAGAGTTACAATGATCACAGTTTAAAGGTAGAATTGCCACGCTCCCCAGTAAGACCTAATGGCATTTTTGAGAACCAAATAACCATTATGGGACTACTCCATTGCAGCTGGTTTTCACAAATGGCTAACACTAAATTTGGAAGCCTTGGAGTTGCTCAAAACATCATTAGAGACAGAAAAATAGCAAGAAGCTTCAAAATTACATGAGCATGGAAAAATATCAAAGAAAGACAAAGCATGAAAACTGCTTGTTGATATGAACTGACAAAGAAATAGTACAAAATACATACATGTTAACAAGAGGAAAGAACTTGAGAGTTGGCTAATGACAATCAGGAGGAACAAAATATCTACTAAGTTGGATGGAACAACAAATTTGCTCTTTCATCATGCTCCGTCTCATTCTAGTTCAATTCTAGGGTAACCAGCTCTTTCTTCCTAAATTCCCTTATTTTCCGTGGTGCTCAAGGGCTTTATCTGTCTCTAGCAAGGATCAGAGATAGGCATAGATCTAAAGTGATAAGTGCTAATCTGGCCTAAACATTAGAAACAAGTAAAGCAATCCCAGTGGTAAATATACATTAACAAGACTTTTTTTTTTCTTCAGAATAGGCTCTATACTAAATATAGAGCCTAGATATTTAGTATCTACAACAGATAAAACCTAACTAAAAATATTCAATAGAAAACTAGTGTGATCTAATAAGAAATAGATATTAAATGTTCAGTTAAGGCAATCAGTGCGCCTGTGTTAGCCTTAAGGAGCCTAACCTATATTGTAACCCTTCTTTGTGGAATAGTATTACTAGCTAGGAAACAAAATCCAGGTGAAAAGAGTACTATAAGGTCTAAAAATATCAAATGCCAAATAAAAGCTAATAAAGAGAAGTAACAAAATTATGCTTTAAATGACTGACTTCTAAATGAATTTGTTTAGCTCACTAGAGATTTAATATGTATGCTGTTTATTTTTTTGGTTTTTTAGCAACACTGATATTATTTATTAATAATTTTACCAGAAATCCTCATGAACTATTCCCTGGTATTTTAAAGATAAATTGTCCATCTCCCTGAGCCCTGGTTTCCTCATCTGGGTGTGGCAACAACAGCATGTCACACATCAATCTTGTTGAAGACAAGGGTAAAGGGCTCAGGAGAGCCCCTGACGGAGACAGGCTTTCAACACAGGCTGTTCATATGTGTTCTTTGTACCTACTGATCGACTGTACTTTCCCCTCCCCCAACTTAACTGATCGCCAAGTCCTGCTGTTTTTTCGTCTTAATATCTTTTACTTTTCCTCAGATCCTTTTGAAGCTACCTGTGTCCAGACCCTCCTCAATTCGCATCAGGATTACTGCGGCAACCACCAAACTCAATTCTCTGTCTTCAGCCTCAACCCTCTCTAATCCATCCTCACTGCCCACAGGGTGATTTTTCTAAAACACAAAATTGCCTGAGTTTGAATTCCAGCTCTTCTACTTCATATCTGTATGACTTGGAACAAGTGACATGAATTCTCCTGTGCTATAACTCAAAATGGGGATAATAATTTTCCCTAGCTCAGAAAGCTGTTACAAGGATCAAATAAGGTCATACATTTGCAAACACATAGAAATCAACCAATAAATGGGAGCTGTTATTTTTCTCTTCATTTTTCTTGCTGTTAGTATGATCCTTCTGTAATTCACCATTCCTTTTAAGGTAGTGTTATAATTATTGTATTGAAGCCACTGCCGAACTCCCCAGCAAGTCTCACATCACTCATCAAGCTATATGGTATGATATAGAATCACTAAACTGCATTCAACCCAGAAGAAAAAATAATTAGGTTAGTAAGGGATTCAAAGGAGCAATTAAGCCATTTATAAAACTGCTGATAAAATTCTATCTAAAAAAGCTGATCTCCTAAGAAATGATTAGAGCAGCCCAAACTAAATATCCTGAAAGGATTC